TTAGCACAGATCCCAGGCTGTCCTGGAACCAAGGAGATGTTGCTACTCTGGTGCCCTCTCTGTGTAAGATGTCAGGTGCCCACTCAGAGGAACAGGCTATTATTTTGTTTCTAGGCCCATTTCCAGTACGGGGGGTGGAAGGGTGGGGTGTGGAGGAGGGGGTGGTGGTGTTAGGATATGTGTTCTGGAAAACCAGACAAGAGCCATCCTCTTAGATGACAGCTGAGGAGCAGCAGAAGCCAAGCTCAGTGCAGATTATATACCCGAGAACTAAGCCACACGGCTGAGTTCTTGCTCCCAGGCTGGCTGGCTGGCAGCTCACAGGCCACCTTGTCCAGGCCTCCGAAGCAGGTTCTCCTGCTGAGATTGCACACCTGCCCAATGCTGACAGCTGGGCCATGGGGGAGCCCAAACTTGGTGTCCAGCTTAAGGCAGGCCAGAGGGCGGCTCCTCCTGCAGAGAGATGGTGATAGCCAGCTGGCGTGAATCAGTCCTTTGTTCCCAGGCTTACATTTTATCTCAGCTAAAATTTCAAGTTCTGATGAAAAGTCCACCATCATTTCAAGTGGCTGATTTGTCTTTACTTATTTTATTTATTACTTTTTAAAAATACATTTTTATTGATTTCAGAGAGAAAGGGAGAGGGAGAGATAGAAATATCAATGATGAGAGAGAATCATGGATCAGATGCCTCCTGCACACCCCCTACTGGGGATCGAGCCCATCACACAGGCATGTGCTCTCTGGAATCAAACTATGACCTCCTAGTTCATGGGTCCATGCTTAACCACTGACCTATACCAGCCAGGCAAATGGCTGATTTGTCTTTATAAATAACTCTTTAAAAATCTGAGCACATCTGTTGAATGCATATTACCAAGAGTTTATTTTCTGTATCCCTTAGGGGTGGTGATCTGTATATGATTCCACTCAGGTCCTTAAAAGTAAAAAAGCAGCTGTTTAATATATACTGCAGGACAAAAACAACACTGTAGCAGCAAAACTGAAAAAAATTTAAAAACAGCATGCAAAATTTCACCTCTATCTTAGTAGACTTTAAAAAATCCAGAAAGAATAAAACACATATAAGAGATTCTTACCCTTTTTCAAATAAAGGTAGAAAAGGTTACAAAGAGACAAAAGGCTAAGGAATCCGCTAAGGATTCCAGGCTTTCATTCACTTTCTTTTATGCCACTTTCACTTAGTTTAGGAAACTCAAGAGAAGCTTTCTTATCAGATGAACACACCAGCATGCAAAAATAATATTGCTTGAGTGTCAACAGTGAGCATAAAATGAAGTTGTAAATGGAATGTATTGGGGCCATAACTTGAGATTACTTTAAAGATAAAACTGTCACTTAATAGCCCTTTGGGCTCATCTTAGTGTTGGGACTACCCTATAAGTACTATAAACAACAAGGCAACTGTCAAAGCCCCATGGGCCAAAACGTTTCCCAAAAGAATCAATGCTCAAACTCTAACTCCCTGAAGTCCTGTCTAACAATTACAGTACCATGCATCCAAGTATCTTTTCACAGCAAACCCACTCATTCCAAACCATTATCAAGCCCCAGCTGGGTAGCTCAGTCGGTTGGAGCTTTGTTCAAGACACCAAAAGGTTGCAGGTTTGATTCCAGGTCAGGGCACCTGGTTGAGGGTTCAATTCCAGCAATCAATCGTGTTTCTCACCTCTCTCTCTCTCTCTCTTTCTTTCTCTATCTCTCTCTCTCTCTCCCTCCCTCTCTCTCTCTCTCAAAATCAATAAACATATCATTGGCTGAAGAGTAAAAGAAAAATAAAATTATTAAGCAACTATTTGCCTGTTTGGTGACCAACAAAGTTTCCTCCTATCCAGAAAACAAAGATTTCACATGAAAAGAAGACAAGCACAGAAAAGCATAAATGCATGCCTATATCTTCGAGGATCAAAGCTACTTTAGCAAAAGCAATCTAAACTGGGTACCAAAGCCAAAAGATCAATAATCTGAGATTTTCAAAATATTCTGGACAACCAACATGACAGCTAAAATACACACACAAGCTGGGACCAGTTTGGCTCAATGGATAGAGCGTCGGCTTGGAGACTGAAGGGTCCCGGGTTCGATTCCGGACAAGAGCATGTACCTTGGTTGCGGGCATATCCCCAGTAGGGGGTGTGCAAGAGGCAGCTGATCGATGACTCTCTCTCATTGATGTTTCTAACTCTCTATCTCTCTCCCTTCCTCTCTGTACAAATCAATAAAATATATAAAAAATTAAAATAAAAAAATAAAATACACACACAAAGCTTCATTTTAATTTGTAACACCCTTGTCGCCCTCTTGGACCCCTCGATTCTGAGCCAGCCTGCCCACTGTCTTCGTGGGCCATCTCCATGTACTTCTCTAGTGTGTAAAGAAACACTAATAGCCCAGCCGGTTTGGCTCACTGGATAGAGCATCAGCCTCAGGGTCCACGATCAAGGGCACATGCCAGGGTTCAGGTGGCAGACTTGATCCCCAGTAGGGGCCGTGCAAGAGGCAGCTGATCAATGATTCTGTCATCATTGATATTTCTATCTTTCTCTCCCTCTCCCTTCCTTTCAGAAATCATTAAGATTGTGTTAAAAAAAAGAACAACAACAAAAAAAACCCACTAATATTCCAGCAGGCAAGAAAAACTCAGCCTCCCTCCAGCTGTTAGGCAGATTGTTCCCCCTGTTGAAATCACAATAAAGTATTCCCAGGGTTTCAGACTACACTGAGCTTTTTTCTTCTTCTTTTTTTTCTTTCTTTCTTTTAAAAAAACCACAAACAAACAAAGAACAACAACAGCATGGGCACACAGTCCAAAACCACTCTGCATCGTCTGCTCACTACACTTTGTCTCATCTCCCCATAGACTCGGAAAGCCACTTGAAGGGTCTTGTTCCTTTAGCAATGCTCGTCTAAGCCACACGCCACCTCTTCATTGCATTCTGAGCTCATATTTATATGGGCTCCTAGAAAATTATAACCTGAAAGGACCTTCAGAGATGGTCTAGTCTGAATTAACCAATGCGTTGGGCAGAACCAGGTTCAAATTCTGCCTCTGGCACATTCTAGGCATGTAGACTGTTTTCTTATCTGTAAAACAGAAATAAAACTACCTCATAGAACTGCTGGAATGACCAAATGAAATTATTAACTTTTTAAAAAATTTTGGACTTTCCTTTTTTGGGGGGTTCCTATAAAGACACTCGTTTTGGGTGATTTTCTTCCTGGTTTATATTACATTCAATTGCAAGCCCAAAAGGCAGGCTTTCCTTTTTTTCTGTGTTCACTAGTCTTATGGTGCCTAGTCCAGTGCACGCCATCTTTTGAGAGAGCCACAGAACAACCATGTGAAAGAATGCATCAAACTTCTATTATCACCACCAATTTCAGCAAATGTGTGGTTCGTTAGTTCCCCCAAGAACCCACCCACTTTGGATTAGGTGTTTTCTAAATGTGCCTTCTCAAAACAAATACATCTCTTTATCTCTCTATTCCCTCTTCTTGCCGGGGCGGGGAGACGCCCACTGCCTCTCTTAATTTTTGGAATAAAGTTAGAATCTCTTCGAGGATATTAAGGCAAACTGCGATGAGGGGAAGAGACAGAATTTAGAAGGATTCAAAATATCTGGAGAATTTTCTTAGGATTTTGTGGCATCAAGCCCTTCAATGAGAATTACTTGTCTAGAACAAATTCTGGCAGAGAGTAAGAAACTCACTGGCCAGCTGTCAGTGAAGCGACTAGTAAGTACTGCACTTCACTCCGTTTTGTGCAAGCAAGCAGTTCCTCAAAGGATCAACTTGATGCTGATACTGGGTATAGATATCCTTCAACAAGAAACACGTTCCTTTAGAAGCGCTGGCCCCTTGGTAGTAAATTTATATATTAAAGGGGGCATACATTGTGCTCTTGAAATGCATTTTACTAGGAAAATTCTGCTCCATATGCCAGGGCAAAAGTGCCATTTCTTTCCTTTGTGGGGTGTGTGTGTGTGTGTGTGTGTGTGTGTATAACCACCAAAGAAACAAGGAGGGAGAAACTTATAAGATCCCAGACCCTTGAAGAAGACACAGATTTCCACCAAAGTAGGTTGGTTCTTTCAAGGAATATTTTTTTCCCAACAGTTAAAACCGTGTAACACTTCCTCGGCATCTTGTACCAATTACACAAACACCATTTCAGCAACTCGGGTGGCCTGGGGAAAAGACCACAGCAATCTTTCCGAGCCCCCGCTGTCCCCTCCCGCGGGGCCTGACAGCGTGTCCCGGGCGCCCAAACACCGGCCGCCAGGCTCCCCCAGCGCCTTCCTCCCGCAGCAGAACTGCCAAGGCTCCTGGGCCAAACTCCAACGTCGCCGGATTCAAACCGCGAAAATGTGAACCCTGCTAAGCAAACGGTAGGGCGCGTAACAACTTTTCCCATCCTTTCTCCTTTTGCAGATGTGGGATACTTGTGTCTCTAAGGCCAACTTCCCAGGTCCACAGCCCTCTTCCCGGATCCCACATCAGGAGAAAGCAAGAGGGTGTGCAGCCCAGAGAGAGGAGAGCTGGTGACTTAGACAACCTCTGCTCTCGGTTTTCCTGCTGCGGGACACTGAGTACACAGCAGCCCCGCGACGATGCCATGCAAACATAAAGGAGGGAGAAGGAATGCTCTCCTCCTCGGTCCTGCCAAAAAAGAAGCAATGAAAGTCAGCGGGCGTTTAGCTGGAAATCCCGGGCCTTCTTCTGGGGGCCGCTGGGGCCCGCCAAGCGGCCGTCTGGAACCTGGAGGAAGAAAAGTTATACCCAGCAAAGTGGAGGAGGTCTGGGCGTGAGGGTGCAGATCGGTCCCCAAGGGGCCGCGGGGAGAGAGAGATGGGCACTTAGCCGGTCCCGCGCGCGGCCAGCTGCAGCCACCGGCGAGCCGGCCCGGGAGAGGTAGGTGCCCGCGCTCGGGCTCGCGGAGCCCCCAGAACCCCCGAAGAAGCCCCCGAAGCCGTACTTACATAACGCTTCAACTTTTTCTCCGGGGGCGACTTGCGGAGCCATCCCGAGCAGACCACTTCGCCGCCGCTCATGGTGCGCGCTCCTCGGGCTCCGGCCCGGGCAGCCGAGGGCGGGCGCGCGCGCTCCGGACACCGCGGGCGCCTGCGGGCGGAGCAGCGGCGGGGACCTCGCTGTCCGGCTCTGCACCCCAGTCCGGCGGGGTGGGCGGGGTGGGCCGGCTCCGCGGCGCGGCTCCGGGTCCGAGCCTCTCCTCCGCAGGCCGGCGGACGTGAACGGGAGCCGGCTGTGCCCCCCGAGGCCGGCACCTCGGGGTAGGGGCCGCCGCCCGTCCAGGGCACGTCGGCCTCCGTTCAACGCGCCCGCCTGGCCGCCAGGCGCCCGGTGCCGCCGGCCCTGAGAAGCGATCGGGCTCCGCGGGACTGACTCGGCCCCCCGGCGGCGCCGAGCCGGAGCCCCCTGCGCTCCGCCCCCTAAAGACAGAGCCTCCCCAGAGCGCCTTCCGAAACGGACACTGCGCTGCACGCGCGCACACACACCGACACACACACACACACACACACACACTCTCTCTCTCTCCCACACTCACGGTCTCACACACAATGCCCAGCGCGGCGCCCCCTCCGGCTCTCCCGCTCTCCTGCTCCCGGTTTCGGGTGCGCCCCGGGGCGATCCTATCCCTTCCTCCTCCCCGGGGGAGGGTGGGTCACTTCCCCGCACACCCGGGAAGCCGGGAGGAAAGGGGAAGCCGCGAGGGTCCCGCGGACCGCGGGCACCGGGCAGTCCTGGGCGGCGGGCGCTGGGCAGGGAAGCGGGTCCCGCCGGAGGGGGGTGCGCGGCCGCGGCCGCGGCCGAGGGCGGGCGGCGGCGGAGGGACGAGGCACCTCGCTCGGCCGCTGGGCTCCGGGGTTCGGTCCCCACTGTCCCGCGCCCTCGCGCTCCTCCCGCGCCGCCTCCCCCACCCGGGGCGCGCGGCAGGTCCTGAGCCGCCCGGCCCCCAGCCCGATCACTCCCTCCCTCCCTCCCTCCCTCTCCCGGCCTCCGGGTTCCCTCTTCCTCCCTTTCCTCCTCCCCTTCCCACGTTCGGGCTGGCTCCCGTCTCAGCCCAGACTTTCTCTGAAACTCCGCCCAAGCGCTCCCAGCCAAAACAACAAGGGCCGGGGAGGCGGCCCCTGGCGGAGGAGGGAGCGGGAGAGGGAGGAGGGAGGGAGGAGGGAGGGAGCGGGAGTCCTCGGGGCAGCCTGGGATTTGTAGTTCGGGAAGCCGGAGCGGGGTCCGCGGCCGCGGGGCGGCGGTGGCAGCGGAGCCCCCAGCCAGCCGGCTCCTGGGGGATGGAAGGGGGGAAGCAGCCGAGGCCGAGGCGAGGGCATCGCGGCCAGGGCCTGGGCGCTTGGTGGAGTGAGGAGCGTTAGCATGGTCTGTCAGGTTTGCAGTCTTGGAGCATAGGGTTTGCTCGGAGTCGGTTCTGTGCAGGAGATCTGAAGTTTGCAGAGTTTTCTCTACTTGACAGCCTGCACAGCGAACCGGCCTGGAGGGAGGCTGCCCCGGAAACCGAAGGGCAGGCACCGGGAGGGCAGGGCGCGGGGATCAGCGCCCTGGATACCCGCCTGGAAGGGCGGACCAGCCGGGCTCCAGCTGGAGGGTCCCCGGAACAGCCCTGCTAGTGTGGTGGGAACGCTTAAGATATAGGGAGGGGGTGGGGGTGGGAGTGGGGGGCAAAAGATTTGATTTGAATTTATCTTTGGGACAAGTTTAAAGCCTCACAATGTCTCTTTGTTCCCAGTTTTTTCTCCTACTGGACTGTATTTGTTTTAAAATCGACTCTTGAGATGTTGGACTAGGAAAGGGAAACTTACTGGATGATCCGTGTGCCCACTTGTGTGTGTTTTACAATTATGATACCTGATCCTGGGTTTAACCTGATCCTGTAATAGAAATATCTTTTCAAATGTACTTAGGAAAGACAAAGCCCTAAAAGAGAATTTAGAAGGTAATAGATAAAGGTGCTAAAAGTATTAGGAAATAAATGAATATTTCTGGAAACAATTACCTTGGGCATTTTCTTAGGAACTCGTTCATCTCCAGGAGTTCCTCTGAGTTTGAAAATGTACAATTGTAGCAAGAAATTAGAGGCTGGGGGCGGTGTCATACAAAGGTCCCTGTGCTGAGATAACATTCCGACGGTGACATAGGACGGTAAACAAATATAAGGTCTACACAGTACAGATTGTGAAAAATGTGCCCTAGGGAAATAAACACAGAAAATGGAAAGATAAAGAAGTAGGACTAGCCGAAACCGGTTTGGCTCAATGGATAGAGCTTGGGGACTGAAAGGTCCGGGGTTGGATTCCAGTCAAGGGCATGTACCTTGGTTGCGGGCATATCCCCAGTAGGGGGTGTGCAAGAGGCAGCTGATCGATGACTCTCGTGGATGTTTCTAACTCTATCTCTCCCCCTTCCTCTCTGTAAAATATCAATAAAAATATATTAAAAAAAAAAAAGAAGAAGTAGGACTAGGTTAGATAGGAAAAAGGGAAGTATTCCTCGAAGAGGCATTTAGCCAGATATTTGAAAGATATAAGGGAGGGGAAGCTGACTTGTTTTGAGGAAGAATAAAAGGCATAATAACCTCAAGGATGACTGCAAAAGAAAGAAGCAGCAAGGGGGCTTTTGTAAAGGCTTTTTAGAAAACAAGGGAGGGTAATTTTTATGGTAGCTGCTAAACCAAAGCAATTCTTTTTAAGATGTGAATACAAATTTGCCACAAGTTGTTCAAATGAAAACATGTCATCAAATTTGTTTTTTACTTGTCCCATAAGTAATGGGTCAGCAAGCGGAGTCAAAAGTATTTATAATTAGCATTAGTAAGATTAGTCCATCGTTGGGTACTCAACTGTTGACTTTCAAAAACTTACTACTCTCTCACTCCTGTTATAAAATTCATTTTAATGAAAAATTGTAATAAATCTTATATGTTTAACTTTTGGAAGTTCCAATATATTTTTTAATATTTCAAATAAGCGATTCAGTCATCTCATTTCTATATAAGAAATCTTTAAGTATTTTCCCCATTGACTGCTGTTGTAGATTAGTATTTCTAGCGCTCAAATAAAACTTGAGAGGTTGAAAATAGATGTTTCTATGTATGTATTTTAGAAAGGAAATTTGCATTATTTTTACATTACATGCCATTTTAGATTTTATATCTTTATACCGTAAAAGGATGCTGGTGCCCCACCGGTGTGGTTCAGTGGTTGCATGTCAACCTATGAACTTGGAGGTCATGGTTCAATTGCAGTAAGGGCATATGCCCAGGTTGCGAGCTAATCCCCAGTGAGGGACATGCTGGAGGCAGCCCATCAATGATTCTCTCTCATCATTGATGTTTCTATCTCTCCCTCTCACTTTCTTTCTGACATCAATTTAAAAATATATATTTTTTTAAAGGTATGCTGAAAAAAGCTATCTACATTATAAAAAGCCAGTGGCCAGAACACCAGGAGGTGCATTGCTGGGTTCGGCCAAGGTGGCGGAGGGACTCTGGGTCCCCCTGGAAGGAGAATGGATAGGTTGGGAAAGACCTCCTTTGGGAAAGACCTTACATTGAGATCCTCAGGCCTGGCCAAATAGTGCAGAAGAGTATTTCAGACAGAAGAGAAGCTATCCAAGTCCTCAGGCTGGAAGTGAAACCCAAAATGCGGGATGTTGAGTCCGAATGAAGTCACGGACTAAAACAGCGGAACTGAGGTTTATTGGGAGAAGCCAGTCCTGGAAAAGGTGTAGCTGGGTTTCCTGGAGCAGCCCCTTGTCCAGAACTTCCTTTTCTTGTTAGTCAGCAGAAGTTGAGCGTCCAAGCCAATTAAAGTCTATTAGTTCATGTGTGGAAGGCCACATGGCCATAAGCCATGTGGACAATGCCCCCTCCTCCCATCCCCACCCCCCAAAGAAACATCAGGAACCCATTGCTGTGGGGGAGAAGAGGGAGGGTAAAAGGAAGTGCTAGCCTTTTAACTCAGGGGGTTGAGACAGCCTTGCTAGCTCCTGACTGGTTATCTGCATGCTGTCTTAGTATGATTCATACATTTTTATAGTTCATGTCTCTTGTGCGACACCCTTCCTTCTCTGACTAGTTGGGGTGTCTTAGTAATTCCACCTAGTTGGGTTCTTGGGTTTTACTTTCCCTTCCCATGATCCCGCCCCTACCTACCTATCTTTCTTGTGTCTCCTCAGAAGGAGCAACCAAGTACTGAATGAAGGCAGCAGTCAGGCGAGTAAGAGGGACACTGGGTGACAGGGTGAGATTCCAGAGGCGGGCCAGAGAAAGGTTGTGCAGATCCTTGAAGATAATCTCAGAGTTCAGATATTTCCTTAGAGCAAATGGCCATGTTATCTCCAGTGACTTTAGAATCAAATAACCACCCATATGGCCTTTATCATTTACCTCTAGCATCACACTTTATGTATCCTCTACCTTGATCTTTCCGGTTCTTCTTAAGTAATTTTTCTCCTCAACACCTTTTGTAGCCTGTTGATACCTCCATTTTCTCATGATCTATCAGACTTCTTCTTTTATTCTCCCCCTTTTCCACTTTAAATTTTTTAAAATATATTTTATTGATTTTTTTACAGAGAGGAAGGGAGAGAGATAGAGAGCTAGAAACGTCGATGAGAGAGAAACATCGACCAGCTGCCTCTTGCACACCCCCTACCGGAGATGTGCTTGCAACCAACGTACATGCCCTTGACCGGAATCGAACCTGGGACCTTTCAGTCCACAGACCAACGCTCTATCACTGAGCCAAACAGGCTTCGGCTCCACTTTAAATTTTATGGTCCACATTTTTACTACATGCTCCCAATTCACAAAACCCCAATTATGAATGAACCCAACTCTATGTTCTTCTGCATATCAGCAGCAAAGTGATGTTGGAGCAAGTTATACAAATGGATGAGTGATCTACTAAATATTCATGTTTAATGTCTTCAATTAGATCCTCAGCTATCCTGCAAGGGCAGATCTTGGCTTTCTGGAGCTTATATAGTTTGGGGAGTCCTTTTAAAGAAAAAGAATATATAATCACAAATGTAACAGAATATGTATTTAGAATGAGAAAAAAAACAAATTATTGGAGGCTTGGAGATGTTTAGACAGTCTACTTTATCTAGACAGTCTACTCTCTGCAGTAACTTAAAAAAAAATAACAGCTTTATTGAGATTTAATTCACATACCATAAAATTCACATTTTTGAGTGCACAATTTTATGGTTTTAGTATATTTACAATATTCTTCATCTTTACCACTAGTTAATATTAGAATATTTCATTGTCCCAAATAGAAACCCCATTCCCATTTGCAGTCACTCCCCATTTCCCCATCCCCCTCAGTCTCTGACAACCACTAATGGGATTTGCCTCTTCTGATCACTTTATAATGGAATCATATAATTTGTGACCTTTTGAGACTAGTTGTTTTTTTTTTTTACACGTTTTGTCAAGGTGTATTCATGTTGTGGCATGTATCAGTACTCCATTTCTAGTATTAAAGAATATTCCATTGTATGGCTATATCACATTTTGTTTAT